TTTTAACAGGCTTTTTCTGTTCAGGATTAAAAACAGGGAAAAGAAATTTTCATGTTAAATTCTTCTAAAAATTTTGGGCAGTCTATTTATTTTTAAAGGCAATTAATATTTTATCCTTAAAATTTTCCAGTATCAAATGTTGGTCAATCTTCGTTACAACAGGCAAAACTTTGAAACATACTAGTATGAGCCGCGTCATGACAAATTCAACATAAGGCCGCTATTCCATTTATACGTGATCAGTGGTCCGCGTCAGTGATCTGTGTCCGGGCATGTCCGTGGGTATTATTCCATAGGTACGTTATTTTCTATATACTTTTAATTGAAGTATAGCGAACAGAGGATTTGTAGAATATGATATAATTTCATTCTAATACCAAAAACAGTTGTAACATCAAAGAATTAGGTAACAAACATTGAATATCAGTTAGGTTTTCAAATAACATCTCTTTAGCAACCGATGACCAGATGTTGTTTTTTTTAATCTGTCATTGCTGCATCATAAACTTATATGTTCTCCTACACTATTTTGGTGACTTCTTTAGTATTTTCTTTCGAAATCGATAAAGTATTTAATTTCGTTCGAGGCATTTTGTAGGGATGAGACATGTCAGTGACTGTCCGCGTCCGTAAAAAATCGCTCATCCTGCCTAAAATGGGTTTGCAACCAGCATGGATCCAGACCAGCCTGCGCATCCGCGCAGTCTGATCAGGATCCATGCTGTTCGCTATCAGTTTCTCTACTAGTAATAGGGTTTGTAAGCGAACAGCATGGATCCTGATCAGACTGCGCGGATGCGCAGGCTGGTCTGGATCCATGCTGGTCGCAAACCCATTATGTTGGTTTTGTCTTGGCGCGGCTCATATACATTTAATTAGTACAACTGTCTTTAACATATATTTACAAATACAGTATCACTTACGTATTATTATGTTTAATTCACTTTTTTGTTTGAGAGGTCAGTAAGGTGTTTAGAAAGATTGCTGGAGGCATCCATTAACATTTTTTGATTAGATGAGACACCAAATTGGGCATTTTGAATGTTTAAAACAGCGAAAAGTGTTTAAAAATAACAACACGGATATTGTTAGACTGTTTTATCTCTAACTTTCGACTGACACGCATTATTTATAAACAATAAGGACTGGTTTAAACTTCTCAGCAAAAGAAATGACCAATGTACTTCAAATCTTTATCCGCGATAAAAAGGAGCACAGAATTATTCTGATGTTTGTCATTATTTGTATCAAAACAGTTCATTATCATTTAAGTTAAATAATTTGTGTGCTTCCTTTTAACCTACCGATAACGATTAAGTCAATATTGCGTGCAGTCGCATATCTTTTATTTGAGTAAGTTAAGGACATGTTGCGTTTGGAGGTTAAAATATAGGTTTAAATCGGCATAACGCATAAGGTATAAGCTGTTGTTCACCGCTGGAAATAAGGAATTATACAGAAACAAAATGGCAAAGCTGACGGTTGAATACCCTAACGGAAATACTGAGGAACTGATGCATGTATATGGCATGACATATAAGTAGGTTATTTTGGTGACTAATCAAATGGTACTTGAAGATAACATTTTGTAATTTTGTCTAAATGACGGTTTTAACGTATGTGTTATTTACACTTCTTGCTCATTGTTTACTTATTCGTTGTTTACTTATTCACATTTCTTGCTCGTTGTTAACTTATTTACACTTCTTGCTCGTTGTTTACTTATTTACACTTCTTGCTCGTTGTGTACTGATTTACATTTCTTTCGCGTCGTTTACTTATTTACACTTCTTTCTCGTTGTTTGCTTATTTACACTTCTTGCTCGTTGTATACTTATTTACACTTCTTGCTCGTTGTTTACTTATTTACACTTCTTCCTCGTTGTTCACTTATTTACAATTCTTTCTCGTTGTTTACTTATTCACACTTCTTTCTCGTTGTTTGCTTATTTACACTTCTTGCTCGTTGTATACTTATATACACTTCTTTCTCGTTGTTTACTTATTTACACTTTTTGCCGTTGTTTACTTATTTTTACTTTTTGCCTGTTGTGTACTTATTTACACGTCTTGCTTGTTGTATACTTATTTACACTTCTTGCTCGTTTTTTACTTATTTACACTTTTTGCCTGTTATGTACTTATTTACACGTCTTGCTTGTTGTATACTTATTTACACGTCTTGCTCGTTGTTTACTTATTTACACTTCTTGTCCGTTGTTTACTTATTTACACTTCTTGCTCGTTGTTTACTTATTTACACTTCTTTCTCATTGATTACTTATTTACAATTCTTGCTCGTATTTCTTAGTTTTCATGAGTTTAGCTCAAGGACATTCAATGGTATGCAGTACACAAACATAAATTTCGTTAAACTTTTAGTAATTAAAATGTTTCATTAGATTATTTGATTCAATCATTCTAAGATAACTGAATTTTGTCAACATAAGAGTTCACTTCTCGCTGTGCATAATTAATGGTATAATAGATATATATATATAAATTTAATTAATGATTATGTGATCTTCATCGGCGCACAAATATCCTTTATCATTTTACTAAGCATTCATCCTAAATACTTATTTAGAATAGTTTATACAGAATGTGTTATTAATTGTGTCCCGGTCCAAAACCATGAGTGTTTACCAAGTTTCCTGCTCAAACAACGACTTGCCTTGCTTGGCTCCTTGCCGTTGATCATGTGTTGCTCGCTTTTGTTCAAGGATGCGTTCAGTGAATGCCACCCTTCCTTTTTAAATGTCTTCTTTCTCGTTGTTTACTTATTTAAACTTCTTGCTCGAATTTCTTTTTTTACATGATCTTAGCTCATGCACATTTAGTGGTCTGCAGTACACAGACCTAAATTTTGTTAAACTTTGAATAATTAGATTATTTGAATCATTCCATAACTGAAAATTGTCAATGCATGTGGAAATCACAAGAGTTCACTTCTCGCAGTGCTTAATTAATGGTATATTTAAATTTGATTAATGATGATAATGATGATGTGATCTTCATCGGCGCACAACAAACATCGACTTGCCATGATTGGCTCTTTGTAGGCTTGCGGTCCAGTCAAGACCACTCTGTCTTTTCATAATTTTATCCTGATGTGGTTTTAAATTGAATAATAAAATAAGACTAACAATAATATGCGGGAGTAAAATACGTGGTGGCTATAGTGATGTCAGCTTGCTCTAAACATAACATCTGAAGTTACAAGTAATAATACAAATTATTGATTGACACTATGGGGTATACAGTTTATAACACATTTCTTTCCTAATCACTGATAAAGAAAGATCATTTAAAACCAAAATGTGCACTTTATGTACTAGATGTAATCATTTTCATGGTTTATTTCAGTACAAAACTTCGCAATTTGTTTCCTAACGGAGATATCAAGGCACAGATTGAAAATGTTCGAGACCTGGAAATACGTGACGACGACATATACCTAGCAACATATCCAAAATGTGGTAATTTCAACTATATATTTTAGTTTTATCATTGTTATGGTGACTTATTTACTGTCTCTTTGAAGTTAAAGGCAAAGAACTTCCTAATGTATTACTTCCGATTTGAAGAGTATTGCAATATATAGGTTTCAAATACTGTGAACTGAATTGACAACGGGCGTCGTGATGTAGAAAATCAGTAGGGTCAATCTTTTTTTTTCTTTTTCTTTTCTCTTTGGTTTTAACGTTTTTGTTAGCCACGAAACAAACTCTTATCCCTTTAGGAAAGAAGAGTGTTTTAATCTTATAATATAATTATTATGCTTATAAGTGACATTTGCTAAATAATGCTTAATTTGATAACAAATATTGTATCTGTTTGTTAAAAAAATGTAAGATAGTAAAATCAAATCTAAACGGTAAAACCTTTAATTTTAAGATGAACCAATCTACTTGTGTGGCCAGTAAGGCAAAGTTTTAAAATAGCCCATTATTTGAAATACATTAAGGATTATTTTGATGCAGGAAATGGCCAAGCAAGTGTTTAAAATGGATGGGGTAGAGTAATTTTATATATATTTCTAATATTTTGTAAAGAAACAATCATTTTGGTTGTGATGTTTGGTAGCTGGATTTATAAATTGTTTCTTAACAATACTAGTAATCAAAAGGAAAACATTCTCCATATAGATATGATAGCACTTGTTTTTTTCCTTTATTTTGAAAAAGACCCTTTCAATATATCAAAGCTTTAATTCGGAAAGGTGTCTGTAATTTATAACCCGTAGGGTACGTTTTGTTTTAATTTTTCGTTTACTGACCAATAATGTCATTTTTCAGTTGCAAATAATGCCCCATTTGGATGGTCAGACGTTAATTAATATGAGTATTATTTCGACAGTTATAAATTAAAGATAAAAATGTTATTTTAGGATGTCGTTAAAAGGTAAATGCTTAAACTTTCCAAAGCCTATGGCATGCTGATCTAGTACAAAATTGATACACCAGTAATATATCATTTGTTATGAGTTGGATTCAGTATCATTCATGTCATTTACTTTGGATCTTCCATCTGAGACAACTATCAAGCTATTTTACGGGAAATCAGTGGTTTTACCCAGACACCTGTCCGTGCCTTGAATAATGAAGGAAGGCCCTAAAGCTACAGTCTCACTTACATCACGGCAGAGCCCCGGCAGAGCCCCGGTAGACGTCCGGGGTGATCCGGGAACGACCGGGGTACGACCGGGAACAACCGGAGTACATCCGTAACTCTGCCGGCAACGTCCTGGATGATCCGGGATGATCCGGGAACATCTGGCATTCGATCCCGGATGGAATAAAATATTTAATATCACCGGGATGATCCGGGAAGATATAGCTTTGCCGGCTTCATCCTTAGCTCTGCCGGGAACGACCGGGGTTATACCGGGGAAGCACCGTAGCTCCGCCGGCACAAACCGGGGATGATCCGGGGTATGATATAGCCGGTAGAGCTACGGTAGAGCCCCGGAAAATGCCGGCAGAGCCCCGGCAACTACAGGCAGAGCCCCGGATGATAAAGGTAGAGCTACGGTTGATCCCGGTAGAGCCCCGGCAAAGCCCGGATCATTTCAAAAGAATAACGACAATTTGCGATGATTGTACTTGCTGGTATTAAAACCCCTCTCTTTTCCCTTCTATCCAGTATGGCATCAGGAATTTTCAGAAAATCATCATGAATAACTATTCTGGAACAATAGATATTATATTAAATAAAAATTATGTGCCGTATAAGTGGTTTTTTTCTGCGGGCTCCAAATTCTGCGTTTTTTTTCCTAATTTTGGCATGTTTTTATTTCTGCGGACTTTATTTCTGCGGCACATTCTTTGGACAAAAAGTGATTTAATTTCTGCGACTCTTCTTATCAAAGTCTAAGTCACATTACCCAGTATTTTATTTGCATGTACACATTAGCATTTGTTTATCGTCATCACCACAAAGCTGTACAGTAATTACAAACAATTATATTGTTTCCTTGCAAACAAATATAATGCGCAACAATAGAAATGTATGCATCTTTTGATCAGCGTGAAATGACGTGTGAAAAATATATCCCGGTAGTATCTTTAATTTAATACCGTAAATCAGATGACAATTAAAGTATACGACGATTATTTAAGTATAAAGGTTGAACTGGTTTGAATGATTTAGTGATAAACAAACCTGTAGTGTATCAGCTAACACTATATATGCTGTTGAAATATCCTTATTCTTAAGTTAGCATAATTAACAATAAGTACATCCTTACAAACAAACATAGAATACATCTAAGCAGACAGCAGTTTTATTCAACTTGAAAACCCGCTAATCGTTATAATCCGTTAGTTGTTATTACTTTAGATGAAACAGGTCATAATGCAGTACACATATATTACAAGGTTAAAAAACAAAAACATGGAGAATATTCTGCGGTTTTTATTTCTGCGGTGCTTGCACTGACCGCAGAAAACGCAGAAATAAAGTCACCGCAGAAAAAACCACTTATACGGTATTATATTATCATTTTCGGGCGTTTTCAATCCACCGGGGTTCTACCGGGGCTCTGCCTGGATCGTCCTGGGCTCTGCCGGGGCTCTGCCTGGATCGACTGAGGCTCTGCCTGGGTCAACCGGGGCTCTTCCGGCGTCATCCGGGAACGACCGGCATGAACCGTAGCTGCAACTGGGCTCTGCCTGGATGATCCGGAGCGCATCCTGGGTGGTTAGTTGAGAACTACCGTAGTGCTGCCGGGGTAAGTGTGACCGCAACAATAATTTCACCCCGGATCGTCCCGGATCATCCCGGTAAGTTCCTGGGCTCTGCCGGGAGTAAGTGAGACTGAGGCTTAGAGAGTTTGTCATTAACAAGTTAAGATGAAAGGTCACCGTGTAGATATGACTAATGACCCACAGTTAAAGCTGCATGCCTATATACGGACACAACTATTTCAAGAAAACTAAACTTGGAAAAAATTTACTACGATTTAAAAAAATTTTTTTTTAAAAGGTTCGAGATTAAAGTAATAATTTACATGTTATCTGTCACTTATGACTGATTTTGCAGTATTTATCATCATATTTCTACTGCATGACTAACGCGCTATGGGTTATTTTTTTATTTTTTATTATGACGGTTTTTAGGTAATTTACGTGCATTATAAGTGCCGTTTGCAATGTGTAAAGTATGTTTTAGGTCATTTCACAATATTTTACTTTTTAATACATTTTCAATTCTTTTTTCATGAAAATTAGCATAAAACTAGAGATATGCTGCTTTAAATAATTGAGAAAATTTGCAAACTAGAAGTTTGGGTTTTTTATTTCTTTCAATGGGCATTTTCCTGTAGTACTGCAAAACTTGATACAAAAAAAGAAGTTTAATATTTGGATATTGTATAATTTAACATATTTCTTGAAAAATAAAATGTTCATATAAAACTTAATTTATTGCAAAATAAATGTTTTTATGGTCACTTACAAGCTTGATGGTGGGTTTCATTAGGTCTTTAGTCATAGGTCGAAATATATTGGGTTCGAAAAAGCCGTACTAGTAAGTACACTAAGGTTATCGTTATGAGTAAGTACAATGTGATAATTGATGCTGATTAAGTCCGCCATTTTAGAAGAAGAAATAATTCATAACAATTTTCAATAACCCACCATCCCACCCACATTCAGTATTCAATTTTTGACAAGCTTATACACATCAAAAAGGTTTTGTGTTTGTTTATAATTTTATATACAAATGCTTTTTCTTTTTACTTCAAGATATGTGTGTATATAATTTCATACACAGTTTTAGGCAAGGCAATATTCTTAGAACCCAACCTTTGATAATTTTTCGGGATATGTGTGTATATAATTTTATATACATTTTTCAGAAATGTTTGCTTGCTTTGTATACAATTTTATGTTATATTATAACTTTCATATCAGCATTGTTTTATATGTTTATATGTCATTTATTATTAAATGGCCATTTCACAATTTTATGTTAGTTTGATAACTTTCATATCAACATTGTATTATATGTTTTTCCGTCATTTATCATTAAATGGCCATTTCAATTTCAAAGTGTAGTTGTTATTCTTGAAAATTATCAAACAGAGAAAACTTTTTCAGGCAAAGATACAACAAATTGAAATGTTGACATAAATGTAATTATTATCTACTATATGACTATAAGCTATACTCACACTTTTTACCAGTATCCGTAAAATTAATATTTATATTGTGGTTTGTTGTAACGTATGGTTCTAAATACTATTAATGAAATTTAGACATTTCATTATAGACAAAACGATATCGTACTAAAATTGAATCATACTTTTCAGGCACGCACTGGGTCTGGGAAATTTTAGTTATGCTGGTAAAAGGCACCGCTGAGTACGAAACAAAAAAGAAGGTAGCAGCCTTTCTGGATTTCAGGGCACCGGAAACAATAAATAAACTTCTGTCCCCAAGAGTTTTAAACTGCCATTACCCTTTTAAACTTATACCGAGGCAAATGTTACAGAAAGGAACAAAAATTGTTCATGTGATGAGAAATCCAAAGGACGCCTTTGTTTCATTTTATCATCACATGCAATCAATGAATAAGGGAGCGTTAGCAAAGAGTTTCGAAGAGTTCCTCCCTTTGATGCTTGGGGACTATGGTTTTTGTAAGTTTAAACTACTAGTACTAGTATACTTGTGTTGTGTAATACACGATGGTCAAATTGATCAATAAACATTGCAACGTTTAAAAATCATATATTTTTTAAAGATCCTGTTACTCAATTTTTTATGGTTTTATATCATAAATATGATGCTCAAATGAAGATTTATCAACATTGTAAGTTCCAAAAAGCATTAATTGTAAAGATATTACCGAATTTACATTTCGTGTTAATAAAGGCAGGTAATTAAAGGTTATTTTCTATGAAGTCTTAATAAAAAATGAATGTATATACGAGTAGTTTGATGATTACATATAATACTTATACTAATACTTGCAGTACATATCTTACATATTCTTCGGTGTTTGAAAATTGTTTTAGAAGCATAATTATATAAAATTTCAAATAAGTGTGGTCAACATACAGGATCTTTAAATTCAACACTGTTTATATCTTATCTATTAAATTCTCCAAAATTTACATTGAAACATAAATTGAAAGTTCATATAGCCTGTACCAGTGTCACTATTGAACGTCAAAACAGCAATTAGGTATTTCAAACATCAATATCACACTTTCTCTAAGTAGTAACCGTCATATACACAACTTCCTGTGTCTTCTTAGCCATTTTTCGTAACTTCCTGCAAACCAGGTTGAATAAGGAAATGCCAAGACTGTTGTGAAAGTTTAGAAACTCCTCCCCAGACCATTTGAAGATCTTGATTAACTCTAAATCAAATAGGGGATATAAACGATGGTGGGTGATCTAAAACTTCAAACCTGTAGTTGTGTTGAATTCACCATATTTACCAATATATTATCATTTTTAAAGGTTCCGTTAGAGATTTATTGAGCAAAACACAAAATTACCCTTCACTTAGCAACTAGGTGGCACCGATCAAATATATATTTTACAATTCTTAAAACTTAGCAGAAGGGATATCATAACTTGTACAAGCTCACGTTTTAACTTTAAGCATGCTTAGGGGTGTTCTAATTACTAGTAATCAATAAAATATAGAATGTTTCACATTTTTGGAATGCTCTGATAAACAATAACCATGTTGCTCCATATTTTGGTACAAAAAGTGGTTTAATATTTTTTCGAAACATACATTTAAGACAAAGGAAGGTAGGTACTCTCACAACAAAATTCAACACTATTTAATGACAATTATAACAGTCATTACAAATTTATCTATACTGTTCAGACAACCCTCATATAGGTCACCATGTGATTAAAATATTTTTTTGAATATTTGAATATAAATTAGCTATAGACGAATATAAACTCCATTATAAGAGATAAGAACACAACAGACTTTTATGTGCAATGTTGCTTGAAAATATATACATATACTTGAAACTGAACAGAAAAAGACTTTAAACGCCCCCTTCGTTATTGATCTTGTTTTTTAATATTTCAGTAATTAAAAAAGTATCTAAAACCAGATTCTTATATTTTAGACATGTTTTACCCTTGGTTTAAGTATGTCAAAGAATGGGAAAGGTTTTCTAAACAACATCCAGAGCAGATTATTAATCTTTACTATGAGGATATTAAAGAGGTAATTTGTTTAATCGTTCAAGTTAATCCATAACATATGCATTACTTGCCTTCTTTTTATTAATGATAGGTGCATTATAGCAAGGGCACGTTAGTTTTATAAGGTTGTGCTTAAGATGCTTAGTCGCTTCATTGCTTTCAACTACACACCAGCAAATAGTTAAATATCTGTGTGTCTACCAAATACTTCGACACACTTGATTAGTTATTCAGTTGTTTAAGCTTTGAAAAATGAATATTGTTTAAGTCTGTGCTAAGGGATTTCAATATTATTCCCACTGTTGTTAACTAATTTAGGCAGTCAGTGTCTTCTGCTTCTTTATTTTGTCACTCACGGTATGTGTGTATATGTGTGTGACAAAATTTCATTTTACAATGTATTATATTTTATATACTCAAAGCACTCTAGATATGGTTCTATTTGCATTGTAACTCTTTTTTTTTTTATCCAATCTTAGATTTTTTCGTGTTAAATTAAGGTAAAGGTAACTTTGATATTATTAGTAGTGGAATGGACCAGGTTAGTTTTAGTTGGTTTATATAGAAGCTGAATTAGCAGATACTTTTTAATTCTTACAGGATCCTGTGAGAGAAATAAAAAAAATAAATGAGTTTCTTGGAACGGGAAGAGACGAGGTCTTAATACAAAAGATTGCTGAATCCTGTGACTTCAGAAACCTGAAAAAGGCTGATGCAGAAATTAAAGTACACGAACATATGTTACATAGTTCGGATATGCCAGTGATTTACAGAAAAGGTAAGATTAATATATAGACTGGTCATGTCGTTCATGATAAATATAAAGGGCTTTCATTACATTTGATACATATCTCATCAAAACGTTTTTAAAGAAGAACATAATTAGTGTGCTTGTTTATGCAGATAGGTTCTACATTGTTACAGTCAATATCACCGGTAATATTTGCTGCATAAAAATAGGCTTTTTAATTGAAGTATAGCTTCATTAATAATATGAAGAAAAAAATCCTATTTTGCAGGTGATGTTGGAGACTGGAAAAATCATTTCACAGTGGCACAGAATGATCATATGAACGAATGGCTGGAAGAAAACTTGCTAGATACTAATCTTAAATTCAGATACTCGCTGTGAAAGTTGTAACAAATTTAAGGGCAAAATACTAACATGTCTGTGTAGCCTGTATCACTATAATCAGATACCTTCAGATTATAATATGTTAAAAAAAGGTGGACTATTTTTGAAACAATAAAAAATTCGCCCCTCGGACATAGAAAAATAAATAATAAAAAACACATTAAATATACAATGTTATTGATGTTTATATAATTGCAGCATACTCACGTTTATTGAAAATTTTATTCTTTTTTATAAATTATAGGAATAAATTTAATACCCATCTCTAACACTAGTAAATGTTTTATTTAATTTAAATTTGTCTCATACTTTGACCATGTGATATTATTTCAAATTGGCTTATCTTGTATGTGCACAAGATGTAACATAGATTGAGTAACCATCCTTGTTATTATAAAATCATAATAAGAACAAAACATGTGACATAAAGTAAGAATGTGTACATCATTAATATATTCATTACCAATGTTTATTTTGTGCGTGTGTTTTCTTTTGTTTTCACTTTTTTCGAGAATTCTGCTTTTAATATCATTGGTTGAAAAAGGTTTCCATACAGAATTATATGGAATAGAAGGTCAACTTAATGGTCGGAAAATGTCTTTACAAACATTGAAGCACTTGTATATAAACCTCCTTGTCTTGATAAAATGAGCTCTTCTTAAGCGCTAATGGTATTGCCAATATATGAAAACTAAGCAATTTTAGTTTCCAATGATATAAACATGTACTTGTAAATGTGCTTAGATAAAGTAAATGTTGACACAATATCATTGATATAAATTGAATACGCTAAAGACAACTGTGCTATTCGATCGTTTACATTCTATTCAGTTAAATAAATGCTTCTTGCATAGACATATCAGAAAGGAAAACACCAATCTGGTATATATTTTACTTACAAAAGGTTCTATATTAAGACTTTAAACTAAAAAGTATTGGTGACAAAATACGAATGTAGATGATTTGAATAAGAAACCTTAAAGAAGACCTTACATGGCAACAATTGAGACGTTGCACACTCGACCAATTAACGGCAGTAAAATATAAATTAGAAGGTACCGGGTAACTCCCTTTTTGCAACGGGTGAGAGAATGTTAAAAATGTTACATGACAATTTATAAATTTTTCTGGTATGCAACGAGGCTAACGTGTTAGGAAATATTTGTCTATAAAACCTAAGCAAGTAGTACTTGCAGAACTTACTTGAATTTCTTTAGAACATAAAAATAGAGAAAACACAATTTCTTAGCAACTTTAAAACATCACTATAATTTCAAAAAACTATTATCCCTGGATAACTGACAGACAGGCTAGATGATATTGATAAACAGTGATCTACCAACGAAAAAACAACTTGTTACCCTTTCCTTCTGTAGCGCCGATATATGTCCAAACGTCGAAATATATCCAAACGACGATAAATGTCCAAAACTCCTTTAACGATAAATGTCCAAAAATTAACGAAAAATGTCGCAACAAATTAGGTGCTCATAAATGTCCAAATCGGTTAACGATAAATGTCTAACGATAAACTTTTCATATGTTAATTTGTAATTTATTGTATTGGATACTGTAACAGTCTATCCAACTAACCCGTGATTTTACCCTCTAGTTCACCCCCGACGTAAAATGTATCATACATGATTGTGCATGGCCAGTTGCAGATCCGGATTGGGCGCGGGGGGCATGTGCCTTCTTAACTCACCGAAGCAATACGTTTTAGCATTGTTAGTGTTCTTTAATATTTTGTGCCCCATATAGCGTTGCCATTGTCCGTCCGATTGTCTAAGTGTCCGTCCCGAAAGTTTGTGAACGGTATAGGGGCGTGGACAGAGTTGCATATTCCTTTACTGTCAAGTGGTCAAAAGTTAAGAAAAATATGCAACTCTATCTGGCAAACAAAGCAGTTAACCTGTATAAACCATGTGAGCTAATCAAGGGGTTAACTGCTTTGACAGTTAAAATCTGACCTACTGATTCAACAGCGAACGATGCAGACCTTGACAGGATGACGCATTTGCTTGTCGGGGGATATGGTCGTTATTAGCATATACGCAACACGTGTTAAATGGGTTTTGTGACTTTTCTCTGAAGTGCTGCGAAGACGGTCATTCTCATGCTACATTGATTTAAGACATTTGTATTTGATTATTACTCATTCGCGCGTGGTGGACTGAACGCCACTGCGGGACCACCGCCTTATACATTTGTAAATACAGAGTTTTGAAAGGCTACTTACATGTATCCCTCCAGTGTCGACCCAGATCAGTTTGCACACAAATGCGTCACCAGATTAGGGTATGCGCTATTAAACACCAGTAATTGGTAGTTAAGGTTTTGTATGTCCCTACAGTGTGGCACTTTCAAGATCAACCTACATGGTTATACATGAATATAATGTATATATAATCAGAAAATGTTCAACTTTATAAGGGGAAGTAACTGCTATATTACCATTTTACAGCTTCTGATTGGTTATAATTATGTCGTGGGAACAAGATTATTATTTCGTGGGAACAAGATATTATCTCGTGGGAGTAAGATAATTATTTCGTTGGAACAAGATAATATCTCGTGGGAACATGATAATATCTTGTGGGAACAAGATAATATCTCGTGTGAACAAGATAAATAAAGACACCCATGTGTCACATCTGTGCCACCGTAATAGACACTTGACGTAATAGTATTATTTCTTGCTGTGCTGGTTGGATACAAACATGTAAATTTAAAAATTACTTATATGTCAAATATTAACTTAACAATATTATATAAATAACACATGCATTATGCTAACTGGTTACTAAAGCATTATCGTTTTTATCAATACAGAGTTATGTAAGAGTTATGTACCCCAGGGTGATATAAGAAATATTCCCCGGGAAATATATTCTAGGAGGGTGATATTCGATCAGAACACATTGTAGGCCTATGGGAGTTTTACATTGAAGGATATATTGAGGTATAATAATATATAAAATAACATATAATATTGCTGTCGGGGTGATAGAGGATATTGTCAACCCGAGAAGTTGTATATTACCCCGAGGCGCAGCCGAGGGTAATATGCCAGTTCAAGGGTTGGCAATATCCGACAGCCATATGTTATTTATTTTATTATACCGAAAAAAACCTTAGGTTCCAAAACATTCATAAGAGAAAATACAGATCAACACTTCAAAATTACAGCGATTTTTATCTGTAAACACAAAATGTATTGATAAAAACAAGACAAACAGACAGACATACATATCGTTATTTCTTCATTAGAAAATAAATAACAACAAAAAAATCAAATTATTATACTTATTATTAATGGATGCAAAATTACAATTATTTTTAATCATCTATCTATAAAATTTTCATATGTAGTAATTTTTATACACGTAAACATGTACAAGCTTGTAACGGTTTCGCACGAACTTTTCGCTTTCCACGTGGGATTCATTGCTAAAAAAAGATTTTTTTATAAACTATTTAAATTGTATTAGTATGTTTATCTTTGCATTATGTTAAATGGTTACTAAGGCATTATCGCTATGAATACAGAGTTATGTAAGAGTTATGTACCCCAGGGTGATATAAGAAATATTCCTCGGGGAATATATTCTAGGAGGGTGATATTCGATCAGAACACATTGTAGGCCTATCGGAGTTTTACATTGAAGGATATATTGAGGTATAATAATATATAATTAAAACATGAATGTTGGGGTGATAGAGGATATTGTCAACACGAGAAGTTGTATATTACACCGAGGCGCAGCCGAGGGTAATATGCCAGTTCAAGGGTTAGCAATATCCTGTATCACCCCGACAGTCATGTGTTATTTATTTTATTATACCGAAAAAAAAACCCCTTAGGTCAGCAGTCTTTGTCTGAAAGAAAATACAGATCATCACTTCACAATTATAGCGATTTTGATCTGTAAATGTTCGATATACACAAAAATAGTATAATGTATATAGATAAAAACAAGAGACAGACAGACAGACAGACTAGGAAATAAATAATATTATGCTAACTGGGTACTAAGGTGATATAAGAAATATTCCTCGGGGAATATATTCTAGGAGGGTGATATTCGATCAGAACACATTGTAGCCCTAAGGGAGTTTTACATTGAAGGATATATTGTCAGGGTCCAGTGGGGCCGGCACTAAGAAATAACTTCAAATATGGTTCGAATCCTAGTCCATGCAAGGCGTCTTAAGCAATCAAGCTTAAGGAGCCAGACCCCAATACCCTAATAACCTAAATATGATAAGTGAGAGACATGAGGGATGAAGTAAAAGCCATATAATGTTAAGTTTCAACAATATAATTGAAAAATATCTTCAAAAAAAATGTGTACATATAAATTTCATAAATCGTTTATATCTGTGTCTGTAATCTGTGACTTCTTATAGACATCAGCTTCATATATGTTGGTCAAGATCTAGGTCATCATTATACTGGATAAAATATATATAAGCACATAGATAAGCATAACTCATCTAAACTGCGCAGACATGAGAGTGTGATGAGTAAAATACTCATATATCACTGCTCGAACATAAGCACATGCAAAGAGAGTGAGATGAGATATATAAGCTCATATACCACTGCTCTTACACTAAAAGCCATGCAGAGACATACACAGTGAGAGTGAGATAAGTGAGACACTTATATACCACTGCTCACACATTAAAAGCAACTTTAAGCAGGAACACAAGCATAAACTCTTCTTGATTTCAGTATCAAATATAACATTCTTCAAGTAGACTTATAAATTACAGGAAGGACTGAGACATGAGCATAACTCATGAATGATTTCCATTCCAAAAACCCTAATATATATTTAGATGAAAATTATCTCTTCTAATACAGCTTATGAAGTTTTATCAAAGTTTCAGCATGAACATCAACTGAACTGTCAAACTGTAAAAGATTTCTTGACTAAAATGGCTTCTTGTCCAACTCGTTCCTTTCTGCATGTACATTCTTCTCTCTATCTTCATAAAAAAAAATATAACACGTGCAACATGTAAACAATAACAAACGTCATCCACACCCTGGATTCTGATTGGTCAGCCGCATCACACAAAAAATAGTTCCTAATTGAGATCAAAACTTCTAAGAAAATATGAAGGTCATCGGCCATCTTTAGCGTCCGTCAGCATCTTCTTCTATAACAAAAATAAAAATGAACAAGAAACAACTTAACTGAACCATAGAACTTCCAACTGGTGAATCCAAACATCGAACGCCATCCTTACTTTCACTTTCGTCTGTATCCGGTTACACAAACAGTCAAGAATCAACAAAATAAGTCTGAAAATTCTAGAAATCACTCTCGTGGATTAAACTTAACAATTTTTAGGCGTGCAAGAGGTCGATCAAGGGCGCGCTCGAGCTTTTATATCATACGATGCTGGAATTGCAGGAAAGCTCTGCAGGAATCGTTGGAAACTGGAAGGTCGCTGTTCC